AGAGAAGGAGAGAGAGAGAGAGAGAGAGAGAGTGGTAGCGAGCACGATGTGCAAAGGGGCTGCGATGGTGGCGCCTCGTCGCGTGAATTTGGAGCCACGGGTGCGCAGCTCGTTCAAGGAAGCCACGCGCGCGCGCCGCTCGGCCTATCTCCCTAGCCTATCCGTCGTTTCCGTAGCGCAAAATAACGCGATAATTGGTATGTTCGACGGCTGCCGACTGGTTGGCCTATGGACGATCTTGAATCGCAACAGCAGGTGCAACAAAGGCAGCGGCCACCACCGGACGACTCTGCCGAACGGCTCGCGCTTGCGGCTAGTTTGCCAACGAAGACGAGCCTCGATAATCCGCGTTGCTCGGACTCACGTCGACAGCGGCGGCGGCAGCAGCAGCAGCAGCCGCAGCAGCAGCAGCAACAGCAGCAGAAGCAGCAACAACAACAACAACAACAGCAACAGCAACAGCAAAATCAACGACAAAATCAAGAAAATTTGGTTGAGCTAGTCACTGAGAGGTGCGACTACCCGTCGTCGTCGTCGTCGTCGCCACCACCGCCGCCACCGCCACTGCAGCCACCGCCGCCGCCGTCATCGCCGCCGCCACCGCCACCGCCACCGCCGACGTCGCAGCCGCAGCCGCAGCCGCAGCATCATCAAGCCTGCATAATCGAGGCCGAAGAGAAGCAAATCCTGAAACTCGAGAGCGGCGTCAGTAAAATGGGCAGGTCGAGGTCGCGTAGTAAATCGCCGAATAGGCGTCGTCACAAAAGCAAGCACTCGCACAAGCATCGATCGAAATCGCGTGAAAAACGCTCCAACAGCAAATATACGGAGAAGCCGCGTGAGAAGAGTTCCAAATCTAGGTAAATTTCCCTATATCATCATAGGTGCCTTTCAGATTATCCAAACGTTCTCTCTCTCTCTCTCTCTCTCTCTCTCTCTCTCTCTCTATTTCTCTTCCTACCTACCTCCCCCCCCTTCCTACATTCGCCTGATTACTCACCTCTCTCTCTCTCTCTCTCTCTCTCTATCTATATATCTATCTATCTCTCTCTCTCTCTATCTCTATCTCAATTCATCATTCCATCATTCCTTATTTCTTTCATCTTTCTCTCGCTCGCTCGCTTGCTCACCCAACCCACTCTATACCTTTCGTCTCATGATTCTCCTCAATTGGATTTGGCTTGAGCTTTCACGACACAGCTACTACTGTGCTTTACATCGCCCTCCTCTGCATTTAACTGGCTTCTGCATTGACCGTATGTCGTAATTGATGTCGTCGCCATTTTACGCCCTATATCCTTTGACGACTAAAACTTCATTGATTTTATATGCTAATTCATGTCGCAGAAAACGCTCCCACTCTGTGTCGTCCAGCAGTGCTTCCGATGTATCCGACGACGTTCACATTGTCACTCATAAGAAACGTACCTATAGAGATAGAGAGAGAAAAATGGATGAGGTGGAGAGATTAGCAGAAATGGAGAGGCAAAGGTAAATATCAACATTGCCAATAACCTGCTATTTATTAACATTACACGGCATATTTTAATCTTTATGTATTATAATGCCGTTTGCTTTGTCCCAACGCACCACTGTATTGTAAATAAGAATAATTTATAAGTTTGAAATGATTAAGAATGATATTTCTCAACGTTAATCGACAAGCTAATATTTAGAGAGCTCGAATTGTAGGAAACGCAGAATTTCTGCATTTTTGTTACGACAGATCCTTTCTGATCTTACCACTAGATAAGGGAGGGGCGCTACGATACAAATTCATGCGCGTCACTTGGCTGCTTTTCCTTGAATATTCTGAATCGTTCGATTATTATAATGTAATTTTAACTCGTCGTTGCAGCCTGCATACGAAACATATAAATTTGTGATTCGTTTAGCGTTTAATTTATGAATATCATAGCGCAGTTATCATTTGTCTTCGTCGCATTGTCAATTGAATATCTATTTTTCTATATAAAAATGTTCTTTCTCCTCTTATTCTTGAAATTGTGCATAAAAATGCATATTTTGTATTTACAGGCGACAGAGGGAAGTAGAGCAAAAAATAGTCGAAGAAGAAGCAGCTAAAAGAATAGAGGAACTTGTACAGAAGCGTGTAGAAGAAGAGCTTGAGAAACGAAAAGAAGAAATTGAAGCCGAAGTGCAAAGGCGAGTAGAAGAGGCTAAGAGAGCCATGGAAAGGCAAATGATGGAGGAAATGGAATGGAGACAGGCTAAATTACGCGAAGAGGAAAAGAGAAGAGAGGTAAGACCAATCCAAAGAAACATTGGTATTTAGCTCAAATGCTGACGCTACTAAATAAAATTTATTTTATATCTTTTATATATTCTTATGTATTGTATGTATAAACAATATTATAAATGCTATATATAAATCAGTTAAAATAAAATTTTTGGTTTTCTGCATTAGATATTGCATCAAATTCTTATCTTAAATTTGGTCTTTGCTGACAATTAAGTGCCTTTTATCATTTTGTATGCAACAACAACTTAGTAGCATTGCAGTATTTGGGCCGGAAGCACTGCGGTTGGAACATATTTTTGAAACGCAAGCGTTACAAAAGAACCAAGGTGCTTCCTTTTCTCCAACATCTTTTAAGATTTTATTATTTGGGGAGGGGGGGGTTTATATAGCTATTTCAAAAGGTTTCACAATATTCTTAATATAGGTGCATGTGAGTTATTTGTGAATGATTAATTGTACCTATTCATGTATGAATGCATATGTAAATATATACGCGCGCGCCTCACTCACACATGCACACGCGCGTGCATGCATGCATACATACACACACGCGCGCGCACACACACACACCCGCGCGCGCACATATAGATATATATATATATATATATATATATATATATATATATATATATATATACATATACATACATATCTATAACTATATATCTATATATATATATATATATATGTGTGTGTGTGTGTGTTTTTGAGTGTGTGCGTGTGTGTGCATGAATGTATGCAAGCATGTGTATGTGTCTGTGTATGTATGTATATATATGTATATGTATCTCCATATATATTAAAAGAATTGAAAAAAAAAAAAAAAAAATACATACTTTTTGTCGTGCTGCATATGAAACGGAATCTGGTTTAACAATAATTACAAAGCCCAACGTTTCAATATGAATCTTAAGATATTTTAAATATTTGTTAACCAGAAACAAGCCTTATCTACCTAAGATTTTCCCATTTATTAAAAAGAATATTAAAAAAATTAATAATAAAATAAAAACGATAGAAATAATGATTTGTAAATATGATTTATTGAATAAAAGTAAAATAATAAAAAATAAAAGAACATCAAAATTTTTATTTATTAAAAAAGAAATGCAATATTCATTCATTATATCTATAATACTAATTGACAAGAAATTTAACGATTCATTTATTTCATATATATATACATATATAAAAAAAAAATTTTGTCTTTTTTTGTCATTGAATTTATAAATTTTGTTGCAACTCTCTTGCATATAATTATAACCTATGCATTTAGGATTTTTTGTTTCCTTTTTTTTTTCTTTTCTTCTTTTGTTTTGTTTTATTTTGTCATTTTGCCGGAATATAGTTATACTTAATTTGTGCAACAAATTTGAAATAAAGACTTAGTTGAGCCGGGGCTAGGTAGACTTTACAAGGCAGAATTAGAATCCCATAGCGACAAAGTACGACCTAGCAATATATAGGTCGCCTTTCTAACTGACTACCAACAGAAGATGCCGGTATTTTACTCACTGCCGTGTGATTGTCAATGAAGAAGGCTTCCCCTACGTGAGCTGGTGAGAGCGTCATTCAGGTATTATCCAATTTATATATTCATAATTCACTATACGATAATGTTTACAATAACTAGTGCTCCTTGCTATATTATTTTTCATACTAAGAGGCTATATTGTTAGGAACGAGCACAGAGTTCAGGATGAGCATGTGATTCGTTTTGTAGCTTTTAATGAATAATATCAACATTCTTTACACATAGGGAAGAGAAGAGGGAAGGGAGAAGAGAAGGATAAAGGATAAAGTCTGAGTTCATCAAAATGCTTATGCTTGTCTATACGTTCCAAAGAAATTATAAAAATAAAACAGTTCATTTTTATTTCTATGTACACTATTATTCCTATAATTTCTAGCATACACATTTCGCTCAATTCAAACAAACTTTTATTGAATACTTCTTTTAAAGAAGCTTGTTATTAAAAATCTGTTATTGTATCAAAGTATAAAAAATCAATAAAACTTGTTTCAAAAAAGATATCACAGTATTTTTTACTTTCTCTAGTAACATAAAATTGATTGTTATATCTTTTGAAAGTGAACTAGGCTATTCATTGAAAAACATTGGACTCCATTAAAAAGAATTCTTAATTTTTCATATCCTAATACCTTCTATCCCCATTCATAATGATATCCAGGATATGCTGATGAGCATAAGTTATAGCAGCACCATGATTTTGGATTTATAAGGTGTAATTAAATGAGTTAATTCAATGGTATCATTATGTTATATAAACAAGCTTTGTTGTCGT